TATGGGACTACATCTGTAGTCATCAGCTCCACATTTATCCCCATCCCCATAATCAAGTCCAGTGTGTGGCCTGCTTGATATGTGGGAGTTGATAGAAACTGGTAGAGTCCCAAAGCCTCCGCGGATGACATTAGGTCCTTGGCCAGAGAGGACGTTACATCATCAGCGTGGACACTGAAGCTGCCCAGAACTAATAGCCTGGGGTGCTCCATTGCCTAGTAAGGCACAGGGAGGGGAAAACAAACCTGACCCAAAAACTGGAATCAAGAACCACAAGGGTAAGAAAGGTCAAATAAAGGGCCAATATTGAAAACTTAGTTAAAACATACAAAAATACATGTATTTATTAGAAAGACAGTTAAAAACATATAAGGATTCAAAGCCTTGTAAACAAGTAAAGGTGGCCTAAACACAAGGGCCAATACAGATGACCTGATGCATTTCTGCCCTATTGGGGCCTTCTTCAGAGGTCAATAAAGCTGCCAAATCAGGCCGGGGGGCAGGAAAACCCCCGCTTTGGAGGCCCAATTTCCGCCGTGGCGGAATCGGGCCCTGGGGGAAACCCCACCCCCGCATGCACATCACAGGGAAGTGACGTAATGACGCCGGGCACGCTGGGGGTGGGGCCACAGCCATTTGAGGGGAAAACTCTATGTTTTCCCCTCAAATGGCTGCCATTTTTAAATGTTTTTAATGTTGTTGTTGTTCAGTCTTTACAAATAACTTTACAAATAGCAGAGGAAAGAAGGAAAGCAAAAGGCAATGGCGAAAAGGAAAGATTTACCCAACTGAACGCAGATTTCCAGAGAACAGCAAGGAGAGATAAGGAGGCCTTCCTGAATGAACAGTGCAAAGTAATAGAAGAAAACAATCGAATGGGAAGGACTAGAGATCTCTTAAAGAAAATTGGAGAAATCAAGGGAGCGTTCCATGCAAAGCTGGCCATGATAAAGGACAAAAACGGTAGGGACCTAACAGAAGCAGAAGAGATTAGGAAAAGATGGCAAGAATACACAGAAGAACTATACAAGAAAGACCTCGATGTCCTTGACAACCACGACGGTATAATCACTGACCTCGAGCCAGACATCCTGGAATGTGAAGTTAAATGGGCCTTAGAAAGCATTACTAACAACAAAGCTAGTGGAGGTGATGGTATCCCAGCTGAGCTATTCAAAGTCTTAGAAGAGGATGCTGTTAAAGTTCTGCACTCCATTTGCCAGCAAATTTGGAAAACGCAACAGTGGCCACAGGATTGGAAAAGATCAGTATACATTCCAATCCCAAAGAAGGGCAATGCCAAGGAATGTTCAAACTATCGCACAATTGCACTCATATCACACGCTAGCAAGGTCATGCTCAAGATCCTACAAGCTAGGCTTCAACAGTACGTGGATAGAGAACTACCAGAAGTACAAGCTGGGTTTCGAAGAGGTAGAGGAACTAGAGATCAAATTGCCAACATTCGCTGGATTATGGAGAAAGCAAGAGAGTACCAGAAAAATATCTACTTCTGCTTCATTGACTATGCTAAAGCTTTTGACTGTGTGGATCACAACAAACTATGGCAGGTCCTTAAAGAGATGGGAGTACCAGACCACCTCACATGTCTCTTGAGAAACCTGTATAAGGGCCAAGAAGCGACAGTTAGAACCGGATATGGAACAACTGATTGGTTTAGCATAGGAAAAGGAGTACGACAAGGATGTATACTGTCACCTTGCTTATTTAATATATATGCAGAGTACATCATGCGAAATGCTGGCCTGGATGAATCACAAGCGGGAATTAAGATTGCTGGGGAAAAGATCAACAACCTCAGATATGCAGACGATACCACTCTGATGGCAGAAAGTGAAGAGGACCTAAAGAGCCTCCTGCTCAGGGTAAAAGAGGAGAGCGCAAAAGTGGGCTTGAAGCTCAACATCAAAAAAACTAAGATCATGGCGTCCGTCCCCATCACTCCTTGGCAAATAGAAGGGGAAGTCGTGGAAGTAGTGACAGACTTCACATTCCTGGGATCCCAGATCACCGCAGACTGTGACAGCAGTCATGAAATTAAAAGTCGCTTACTCCTTGGGAGGAAAGCGATGGTGAACCTAAACAGCATGATAAAAAGTATAGACATCACCCTGCCAACAAAAATCCGCATGGTCAAAGCAATGGTATTCCCAGTAGTCATGAATGGCTGCGAGAGTTGGACTATAAGGAAGGCCGAGCGCCGAAGAATAGATTCTTTTGAACTATGGTGCTGGAGAAGACTCTTGAGAGTCCCTTGGACTGCAAGAAGATCAAATCAGTCAATCCTAAAAGAAATCAACCCTGACTGTTCCCTGGAAGGCCAGATAATGAAACTGAAGCTCAAATACTTTGGCCACCAAATGAGAAGGGAGCACTCACTGGAGAAGACCCTGATGCTGGGAAAGATTGAAGGTCAAAGAAGACGGGGACGGCAAAGGATGAGATGGTTAGACAGTGTCATAGATGCAACGAACATGAAATTGAGCAAACTTCAGAAGACAGCGGAAGACAGGAAGGCCTGGCGGGATCTGGTCCATGGGGCCGTGAAGAGTCGGACTCGACTGTGCAACTGAATTTTTAAATTTTTAATACTGGCCTTTTATTTGACTTCTTTCCCTTGTACTCCATTGCCTAGCCAGAAACAGCATCCAACAGGCCAGGGTGTCTGTCAATGCATTAGGTGGACAGTACACCAGCCAGATAGCCAAACTCTCCTTGGTCTCTCATGCCAGGCCAACACATTCAATGATTGTGATTTTTGGTATGGAGAGCATCCTAAAGGAAAAGGTATCTCAAATGAGCAATGCCACACAAACCCCTGGCAAGTTGTCTGGGACTGGTGAAGGACTGAGAACCCAGGTGGGGCGAGTTGGTTAAGCGCTACTATTTCGCCCTCCCACACCCAGATCTTAGTCACACAGACCAGGTCTGTATTACGCTCTGCAAGATACTCTCACAGAACAGAGGTCATGTTGTTGATAGATCTGGCATTAAGCAACACCAGAGTCAGAGATGGGTAACCAGTCCTAGCCCCACAACCCACATTCCTAGGAAGAGGTCCGAGCATTACCATATCTCCGGCCTCTTCCATTCCATTTCATGGAATACCTCCTAGTCCCACCGCTCTATCTCCCCTGCCCCATTATCTCTGGTATCCCCACCCCTTCTGTGCCCCCTCTCAATGGTATCAGCCCGGATAGACCAGCTAGCACCCAGCAGTGATGGCCATCTCTTCAAAGCTTCATAAGTGTGACTATATACAGATGGATACCATGTGGTACAGACCTAAGGGTGTGTGAAAGTACTACTACTAATACTACCGATCAGTGTGATACTGCCAGGCCCCATCCAATGCACCTCAGGGATTGGGGAGATGAGGACCTGGCAACTCTAGTTGGCTCTATGGCATTGTACCCCACTGTGGTACATCCCCAGGCTCCATCCCCAAATCTCCTGGAGCTTCCCGGGTTGGATCTGGCAACCCTAACCCCCCATCCCCCGCTGGTGGCCGGGGGGACCTAGCAACCCTATTGCTAAGCCACAGACTTGCAAAGAATCAGCTGTAAATATTATAGCTTTCCTCTCCCTGAAGTTTCTGCATTCATGCCTGACACTGGTTCTTGTTTGGTGGTTGAACCACCAGATACTATACTAGCTCTGTCCTCCTTATCCTACAGGTGATTTTCTTTAGAGGCTTAGAATTGGGCCAGTGAGTAAAGCAAGCCGTATGAATTTCAGTAGAAGAGAACAAAACCCGAAGGATGAAGTGCCATGATTTTTTTTTAATTCTTTCATTGAGATGCACAAGACACCATGGGAAACAGTCTTGCAATCTTGTTGTCCTCCCATTCTTGGAATTTTCTAAACAAAACATTTCTTTCCATTGTATATACAATATACAATTTCATAAGAAAAAAATCCAGTAAGAGGGGCTCAACTTCTTACGTAACACAGCCTGTAGCATTTCAGTCAGTTCTTCCAATGATTTAAACATACCAAGGGCGTAGACTTTCCAATTTCCCGGGGGGGGGGGCTTGGGCTGGGCCAGAGGCATTGCTGTGCTAGGAGCAAGGGTGGCTGGAACCAGTTGCCCCCGGGGGAGGCTGAGCACCTTCCTGAAAATTTCGGGGAAGGCTGACGCCCCGCCGCCCCCATGAAGATTACACCTACAGCTCTTCCAGATCTTAAAATGCTTCTTAGTCTCTCTCCACCAGAGATGCCATCAGAGATCACCCCAGAATGAACTTGGCAGTCTATTTGTGGTTCTGGTCACAGAATGCATTAGGGACAGTGGAATTCAGTAAGTCCTATCATAAGTTTGAGAGGGAACACCAGGACTAGCCCCTCACTGTGCATGGCAGAGACTTCCTACATTGACATAACTCAAATGCTGCCATTCTGCCATGCATGTGCAGAAGCTTATAGTGTCAATGCAGCCTCTGAATCCACTATATAGTGAAAGAACCATTTAGATTTTGCTATGTTCATGGCTGGAACTGGGACCTTCAAAACTGATCCTGGAACAGGTAGCAGAAATTTGGCAGACATCCAGGAAATCTGGAATCACAAAATATTCTTTGGAGTGGAACTGGATGATTCTACCCATTTTAAAAAACTCTTCCATCTTAATTGTGCAGCTTGTCATTTTCAACCACAGAACTTCATTTAAATCTTGTCATACATAACATAAATGTAAATACAGCTGCACAGGTTTCTAGCTTAACTACCTACAGGTTGACCTGAGTGGACAGCCCCAAAGACCACAGATGTCTTAAAGGATCAAACACCTAACATTTCACCTCTGGCCTATCCCTTCCATAGCATTTATTAGACATAGCAGGATAGGGTTGCCAGCTCCTGGAGATTTGGGGGCTAGAGCCTGGGGAAGGCAGGATTTGGGAAGGGGAGGGACCTCAGCAGGATATAATGCCATAGCATCTATATTTCAAAGCAGCTATTTTCTCCAAGGGAATGGACCTTGGTCATCTGGAGAGAATTTGTCATAGTGGGAGATCTCCAGGTGCTACTTCAAGGTTGGTAACCCTTTTGACAGTATGATCCTAGCTAATAATGCAGCGTATCTTGAGTATTACAGCTGTAAGATATATTATCCCAGGTTTTGTATTAGACAAAAAGTGTTATACGCTTTTGTGTGCATGTACACAAGGGAAGGCTTTGAGAAGAACAGCTAGGCCTTGTTTTGGCTATCCTATGGTGCCAATTCTACAGTTAGACCAGAGAAGATAATGTATTTGCAGAACCTCACACAGATAAAGAGATCCTTCAGAAGTGTTTGAAGGGTTGAGGAGAAAGCTGTCTCAACCCAACTTCTGAGGTGTAAGTGCCCTCACGTGAGGTAAGGTGGCAAAGTCCTCAGTTTCAGCTGCAGTCTGAGCACTGCCCTTGTGCTGAGTTCATTGGTGTCTGCATGATGATCCTTTGAGTAGTTTTTTATTGTCAACATGAAAATCAATAAATAACTTTTATAAAAAATAGGCTCGTTAAAAAATTATCAAGCTGTTTCTAAAAATATATCTTAATACCCTCTTAATAACAATTATCTATTGGCTTTCACAGTCTACAGACCCCGATTCAGGACAGGAACTGAGTTCTACTGAAATCTGTGAGACTTCAAGTTTATATTTATCATGTGTAGACTCAAGAAGATCATACTACTGGGACCTTTGTGAATCACTGGATTCTGATCTTCATTAGGTGAAGGGTTGAATGAACAGGAACATGTGAAGCCATCCAGACTACTGTGGAGTAATGGATTCCACAGTTGTTTCAGTGGCCTTCAACATTCTTTCAAGCTGAACTAACTACCCCAGACTGCTTGAATGAAGTCAAAGGGGCCCTTAAAGTGATAAATAATTAGGCAGGGTTCACATCAACATTTCCAAGAAAAGTCATTGGTATTCAGACCTCTTATTAGATGAAGAAAAGGGGTTACTTGAATGGAACAAAAATACAGAAACAAGTAAACAACAACAGCCCCCAAACAATCTTTTCTTTTCTTTTTTTCATGAGTATTATGGAGTAATGCCCACTAATCACTGGGGCCTGACCCCCCAGTAAACCTCAAATCCCCCTTAGTGCAGTTATTCAGGCTTTCAGTTCTGGGAGATGTGAGAAATGTGGGTTCACACAGTAAATTCTTCATCTTCATGTTAAGACATGATGTAGACCTCCAGTAGGCTGGCCACTGCATGCATCCTGTAGAAGATGCCAAAGGGCAGGCAGATGTCCACAATGGCAGCCCACATTGGGTAGCCATAGAATCTGAGCTCCCGCTCATTATCAAACTGGGGCCGGGCTCCAAAAGCTGGCATGATCCAGAGCTGTTTTGGGGGGGAAGACAAAAAAGAACCACACTCAGAAAGCAGGAAATGATGAGAAAAGCGTGGGGTACAAATGTGTGTAAAGAATGTCAGAGAGGTTGATGAAGAGCCAAGCTACTAATAGCAAACTCACCAATCTGAGTGGTGGTTATTATGTCACCTAGAGACCAAGCAAGACAATGGCCATGATCGAGTACACCATTTAACATAATGAAGCCTGATTTTATGGAATTTAAGTATGTACACATAAGAGTATACTGAATGGTGGTCAATGATGTCAATCCACAAAAGTCTTGCAGTGTGCTTACATGATACTATATTCTCACACCCCCAATGTACTAACACACATAGCTGAGCTTCAGTAAACTTTATGCAGACCTGGATCCCAGGTGCTGAGTTGTGTCACTACCATCAGATCTTCCTCCTCCTTGAATGTCCCTACAGCTTCTGTTCCTTTAACCCTCTTTAAAAAGTCCAAATCATGACAATTGGATGGAATTATAGGTACATGCTCTGTTTCTGCGCTATTTGCTCTGCTGCTGCCTCCTCCCCCCGCTTCTATCATACTAGTGCAGGGCCCCTCAGCCTGTGGCCCCCCTTTAAAGGGTTTTATCCAGTGCAGCTCAGTGGGGGGAAAAACCTCATTAAAGGATTGAGGGGAGAGGAAATGTGGTGTTTAATTCCACCATTTTCAATGTAGAAAGCTGGGTGGAGTATTTTCAAGCTTCTGCCCACTTCCCACAGTGGCTACTAGTACAGGGGAATGTCCAAATGGATCCTCTACCTGCAGTCACCCCGCAGTTGCCCCTACACATTGGAGAAAAGGAGGTTTACATTTTCTCCAGATTGGGGCGGGGGGGACTAGTCACACACAGATCTGGCATAATGTCATCTGTATGTTCCCCTTTACTGCAGGGATTTCCAGCTGTCCACACAGGGGAAAAATCCCCATGTGGAAGAAACCTAGAAGGGCAACCTCTCCCCCATAATGTTTGAACATTTTTCGTTATACTTTTTTTAAATCCCAAAGATGTTCTCTGAGGCTCAAAGTGTCTAAAGCAGAAGAAGAAAATTGGTTTCTCCTTGGACTATACTAGAGTGCACTGACACATGCCAGTTTGGTATAGTGGTTAAGTGTGTGGACTCTTATCTGGGAGAACTGGGTTTGATTCCCCACTCCTCCACTTGCAGCTGCTGGATGACCTTGGGCAAGCCATAGTTCTGCCAGAGCTGTTTTCTCATGGACAGTTCTTGAAAGAGCTCTCTCAGCCCCACCTACCTCACAGGGTGTCTGTTGTGGGGAGGGGAAGGGAAAGGAGTTTGTAAGCTGCTCTGAGACTCCGAGTGAAGGGCAGGGTATAAATCCAATCTCCTCCTCCTCCTAATCAGGCCTCACTGTACATTGTTCTTCTGTAGTTCAAACTCAGCCTCCTCCTCACAATGTCAGCCCTCTACCACAGGACATATTGGTATACAGGGCACTGGCCCTATCACCCCACTCATGACTGAACATGCTGGACCCACCCCATCCTATGCACATTCACCCAAATGCAGGCACAGTGCCTATTTGCACATATACAGGTTGGATGCATATAGGCTTTGTACCCATGATCAGGAATGTATGATCCCAATTGTTCTTCACCAAAGGGGCATGACCAACACACATATAGCTTCTACAGAGATAGATACTGTGCCCAGAAGTGCTTGGGAGAAGGCAGGGTCAGCATGCTTGGCGCAAGCAAGGGCAGGGCCAGCCCACTCGTACTCCCCCTCTGCACACATTAACCCAGGATACCAATATGTTGTGTGTACAAAGCTATATTGGACAGATATACTGGTCAGTACATTGAACATTGGAATCAGTAGCCTGGCTTACCGACCCACCTCTCATGTCTGCCTTTTTAAACTGCAGCATGTATATTTATTCAGCTGAATGTACATTCATCTTGAGTGGGAGTAAATGTTTATAAAATTCTGAAATACTGATTAGGAAGAACAGGAGAGACAGGCTCCCTGCACGATGGGAAAGATTCCACTGAAGTCAATACTTCCCAGGGTGCGAAAATATTTTAGTTCAGTAAAACCTCCAGAGCTTAGCTCTGGTTATGCATGCTTTGCTGTTAGGTATTAAAAGAAGAATAAAATTATCTTTGTCACATGCCCTTGACTGAATGACCCAATGGCATTTGCGTGGCATACTTACAATTACATTACACAGCAGCAGGAACGATGAGACCTCTTTCAAGAGCCTCCTCCTCCAATTTACTTTCTTGGAAACCCTTATGGACTGTATTGCTTCAGAAGGTGCTTGAATTGCTAAGGCTGGGGGTGTGGTGGATGGCAAGGCACTTCCGCTGTCAGGGACACGAAGGGATACAGCATTCATATTGACAAAGGTGAGCCCATAAAGATCCTTCTGCTGAGGGTCAATTTTGTTTTCCTCTTCTGGGGGCTGCCGATGAAGGCCTTCTATGATAAAGATGTTCTGGAAAGTGTGCTGGGCAATCATCAGCAAGGAACAGGTCAAGTTAAGGGCACTGATAGTATCCCTTGACATACTGGCCACTATGGCCACAATAGAGTAATAGGAAATAGCATATTGCCCCAAGGCTGCGCCCATCAGTAAAGCTACATCCAAAGTTCTAGTTGGGTTCTTGTGACGGTCCATGTCTCTCTTGTCAAACCTGTAGACTATGGAGCCCGCAATGGAGGCAAGGGACGTCAGGCCCAGGCAAACAATGTTGAAGATGTAATACATCATGAGCGCCTGCTCCTTTTTTTCAACGGGGTTATTTTTATTTACCTGAATTTCATATACAGTCAAGACCCCTATCCCAGTTACCAGGATCAAGAGCCCCAGGATGGCGCCCACAAAGAAATTCTTTTTGAAAAGCTTGAATTTCAGGTGATGCATAGGGTTGGTATGGTGGTCTATGAAGCGGCCAACATTCTTCCACATAACATAGACCATGGCGGAAGCAAAGAGGCTGTACTCAATATTGAAGGGATACATCCAAAAATAGCCATCATGGAAGACGCTGCAGAGCTTTCCGTCACAGCTACAGCTCTCTGAGGCGCTGCTCCTTATCCCAGCTGCAGTGGGGGAAAGAGGAAAATGTTAAGGCTTCAGCTGTCTGAACACTTCTTCACAGAACAGTTAGATGATAAGAAAGGTAACCACAGTTTTTTAAAATGGGGTTTAAATGAGCACTGCTTCTACCGAATCAGCTCTATACTATACTTTCAGTCCTTTAAGGCTTTTTTTTTGGGGGGGTGACACAATTCAGGGCCTATTTGGCTGTCCCAAGGAAATTTTGGTAGGGGCTAGATCCACAGAAACTCATCCATTCCCTTCCCCGCCTATTCACCACAGAGGAAACTGAGAGACAGGAGAGCCTTTATTAAAAGGGTTCGTTTACCCAAAGTCAGGGTAAATCTAGTGCTTAAATAGTTGGCATTTAGTCCTCCACAAGCTAAGAAAAAAGAGAAAGGAGAGAGATTTGAAATACGTGAGGCAGAGGAACATTTCTGAACTCTTTTGAAATACAATCCTGCTCATGTGCATGCACATACAGAGAATAGCTGTGCAGATATTAGTACGTTGTGGAACACCTCTGAGACAGCTCTGTATTGAATAAGGGTCTATTTGTTTTCACAAACTGTTTGGAAGATTCATGGCAAAACTCAGACGGGTATCATCAATGAACAAAATAGTGCTTATTCCTGCTTGGGGCCTTCATGGACCTGGGGCAGGAAGCTCTTGAGTGGTTTCATTATCCTCGACCCATAGACCCTGCGGCTAGGGGGCAGGAAGTGGCACACCTCCCTCAAGCATCATGAAGGTAAGGCTTGGAGCCAGCGTGGCCTAGCCTCTACATTCAGGGCCTGCACTCAAATGGATTTAGAATGGGGTTTGTTCTGCGGGCACCTCAGATCCCCTTTAATTAATGTAAATAAATACTTAAATAAATGTGGCACTTTTTATTACCCAATGGAAGGCGTTGGCTTTCCTTATTCCGCATCTTCAGGCAAAAGCTCACTACTGAAAAATGTAGCAAGGGACACCACTCAGACCAGGGGAGGAAAAATGGCCTTCTCCCCAGCCGTAAAAATCTTCAAGGGATAGGAAGGACATGGGGTTGATGGAGAATTTCAACTTCTCTCTCTGGATGTTTCCATTGAAATGAATTCTTGAGTGAACAGAACTTTAGTTTAAGCAAACTTCCATGAACTTGGCTCCAAAGAGAGTGCTAATATATTTGTTTTTAACTAACATGATTCTGAACCAATTCCCTTTCATGTGCCACTTACGCATTCTGTGTGTGCCGTTTGGATTCTTTAATTGTGCTTTATGCACCGACTCATCTGTTACTGCAGACATCCACACTGCTAAATTGGTGGTCAATGTGACCATCAAGCCACATCTGTAGAAGAGAAAGGAAAACCATGAAATTAAGTCAAACTCTAATTCCAGGATTACAAACCACATTTTGGGATTGCAAAATATTGGTTAACCTCACAGTGCTATTTTACAGATTACTGACACAATGTGAAGATCTTTGAGTACAAGAGATAATGCACTGTGGTTTAGATTCAACCTACATTTTCTGTTTACAGAAGACACTTCTGCTAGTTGAAGAAGGAGGGACAATTTTGATTCTGCCCTTCTGTTGTGGCCTACCATGCCCCATCCATCATGCTTGGGGAGGGGGTCATGGATCTTTAGGAACAGAGTGGGGGTGGGGATGCTGTAGGAGTGAGAAATAGATTAAAAATATCCCTCCTGCAAGTGGAAAATTTTGATATCCATGCCTATATCAGTAATAAGTACTTACTATTTCTATGAGGAAGAAAAAAAAGACCAATATTCACATTTCAAAAACTGGGGACAGGCAGGAAATTAGGATGGAGGAAGAAAATCTATCATCACATAAATTTAGAAAAAGGTTGTATTTAGCAGATGATGTACTATGGGAACACAACACCTAAACTAATTTTATTCACAAGTAATTATGGATTTAATACTCTGGAATAAGGGATAATCTTTAATATACTGCATTAGAATGTAATGCTCTTCCTTTCTAGAACTGAATTCTGAAAGTCAGCAGACTATCATTTCTGAGATTATTTGATTTAACCTTACTGACACATCAAAAGGGACAAAGAAAGAATGATTTGGATGTAACAACAAACCATACTTTGCTGGGTCATGAATGAATTTGGAAGAAGCTTTGAAAACTCATTCAACCTCGCCCCCTTTCTGGATGGGCAAGGGCTAATGGACCAATACAGCTACTTTCATTCATGTCTGTTTTGGAGCAATTTAAAAGAAAATTCTTCAGATATTTCCTATGTAATCTATGCAAGTCAGTACAATCAAGAACAGTGTTTAGAAACACACTGGTTTGGTCTAGTAAAGCAGAAACATAGCAAATCATTTTGTGTATGCTTGTGTGAATTACATATTTTTCTTTATTTGATTTTTATCCTAGCCTGCCTCCATGAAGCTCATAATGGCATATATGGTGAGCCCCCCTTGTAATCCTCACAACAGCCTTGTAAAGTAGGTTAGGCTGGGAGTGAATTTAATTAATTAATTGATTAAGAATACTTCTATGCCATGTCTTCGGAGTCCTGCTTACAGCTTACAACTAAAAACCACATTATATTAAAACAAACAAACAGTTCCAGGGTCACCCGGCCAGCTTCCGTGGCAGAGTGGGGCTTCAGTGCAGGTCTCCCAGATCCTAGAACATACTGCCTCACCACACTCACTGTCTTATTTGTTACAGACACTAAACCAAAAATAATGGAAGCATGGATGAGGAGAAGGAAAAATTAAAATCCTTCATGTGAAGAGGGCACAGCAGTGGTGATTTCTTATAACACCATCTTCCAGTATTGTAATGATCATATTTCAGTACCACTTTTGTTGCAGCAGATAATAGACTGAGATCTGGGCCTAATTCCTCTTTAGCTAGGCAAAGTCAGGCAAAATTGTGTGTGTGGGGGGAACACAGAAGGACTCGCCTAGATACTCACCTAGTAACATCCAGATGCACATGTACACAGTCTTTGGCAGAAACCCAGAGAAAGTAAGTCTAGAGGGGGAAAAAAAGAATATCATATTAATATAATCATATTATAAGAGGGAAGGAAAGAATAATCTTACAGATTAGCTATTGCTTACTGACCATTGGAAATATTTTTTTTTGATTCTGTAAAACTCTATGTGTTGTTTTCTTTGATATGAATGAAATAATTTTCAAACAAATATATTGAAAATGATCTTTGATGTTTTTCATAAGGCACATGAAATGAATTACTTAATGGAAGGAAAGCAGAAGAGAGGGGCTGTGGCTCAGTGGTAGGGCATCTGCTTGGCATGCAGGAGGTCCCAGGTTCAATCCCCAGTGTCTCCAGTTAAAAGATCTGGCAACAGGTGATGGGAAAGACCTCTGCCTGAGACTTTGGAGAGCTGCCACCAGTCTGAGTAGATGATACTGACTTTGATGGACCCAGGGTCTGATTCAGTGTAAGGCTGTTTCATGTGTTCATGTGAGCAGTCAAGGGAAAAAAGATTTTTGAAGCCATTATCTATTTCCATTGTTATGGATTTCTATACTTTCATCCAGTTCACAGTTGGAGATATTTATTCTCCTTCAATTGGGACATGTTTGCAGGCTTCCATGGAACCCTCAAGGAACCTCAAAAGCCTGCCAGGTCTTCCTAAGAGACACCTAGCATCTTCCATGCAATTTCTACAGATAAATGTTTCATCTGGGAGTAGCTCTAAAACTCTTTTGCAGAACAGAATTGGGTGAATTTCCCAAAAAATGTTTATTGTACATTAGGTAAAAAACCAACAAAAGACAAAACAAAAACAATGAAAACTTAAGTTTTCAATTGCAGCGGTTCCTCATACCAAGCAACTTAAAATGTAAAAAAGGTAGTTTTCAAAGCCACCAATGATTAAAGTACCCAGCAAGATGATGTGAAAATTCCTTACACCTAATAAATGATGAAAAAGACAATCAAACTCTTCTGATTTTTGTTTAAAAAGTTCAACTAGCTTTGGAAGGAGACAATTCAAATGCTTCAAGACATTTATTTATTAAAAACATTTATACCCTGCCTTTCCTCATGGTTCAAGGTGGCCTACGATAACAGTTAAAGACATCCCCACCCAAAAATAAAACAGCAAACGTAAAACCAAAAGTAAAACGAAAACCAAAATTAAAACAGGAAACCCAAAATCTTCTCCCCATGCCCCTTAAAAGGTGCCTGCCATTCAAGCCCCCTCAAAAGCCCCAACAAACACGCACAACTTGCGGTGCTTCCTGAAGATCTCCAAGGAGGCCCCCTTCCTGGGACCCCATTCCACAGAGCCACAGCCATGATGGGAAAGGCCCAGGCTCTGGTCAATGCCAGATGGTGGGATGGCCAACAGATGGCTGTCTGATGACCGTAGTTGGTGCACAAGGACTTATGGAAGGAGACAGTCCTTCAAATATGTGGGTCCCAGGTCATGAAGGGCTTTAAAGGTCACAACTCAAATCGACCAGAAACAGACTGGCAGCCAATGTAGCTGTTTCATAATGGGACAATATATGTTCCTGGCAGCATAGCCCATGGCAATCATTGAGCTGCTACATTCCGGACCATTTGTAGTTTTCAGGTTGTCTTCAAGGGCAGCCCCACACAAACCATGTTGCAGTAATCCAACCATGAGATTACAGAAGCACAAATCAGCATGGCCAGATCTGCTGAGTCTAGGTAATGAAAGAGTTGGCGAGTCAGATACAGGTGATAGAAAGTGCTCTTGGCCATCAGGCCAACCTGCTTTTCAAACAGCAAGACAGGGTTCATGAGCACTGAAAAAGCCAGTGTCACTCCATCTAGGACAAGCGGATTCAGTGCCTCTAGGATATCAGCCTTCCCAACCAACATCTGCCTTGTCTGGATTCAGCTTCAGTTTGTTCTGCCTTAGCCACCTGACCACAGCCTCAAAGCACAGGTTCAGAAACAAACAGGCTCGTAGCCAGGAATTATTATTTTTTTGGCTTGTGGGGCTCTAATAATAAAGACAAATTGTGTATTACTTAAAAATGTGCTCATTAAAAATTGAAGCTAATGGTAAAACTCCATAATTATGTGAATTGGTTTAATCCGCTGATGCTTCCCTGTGATCACAAAAGTGATGCTTCCCTTATGCATTTCCACCCTTTCCCACAGAGCACAGTTTGCACACACACACACAAAAGGGGCTCCCCCTTCCGTCCAAGCCATCCAAGCCACAGAGCAAAAAAAAGGAAGTTTGCACACAGAGCCACAGAGCAAAAAAGAGTCAGTTTGCAGTCTGCACACACAAAAGGGGCTCCCCCCTTCCATCCTTCCCAAAAGGGCCCCTTGATCCAAGCTGCACACACACAACTTCCCACCTTTGTTCCCTCCTCCCTCCCGATCCAAGAGCCACTGCTGCCACCACACACACACAAAACCTCCCCCCCTGACCCAAGAGCCGCTCCAGAAGGCAGCCTGCAGCAGGACAGTGTAGGCTCGTGGGGAGAAGCAGCCTGAGTCAGCCAGGCACTGCAAGCCACTCTGTGCAGGCTCAGCTGATCGTGCCACTCAAGACTGGCCATGGTGGCGGCAGCTGAGACCAGGCAGAGCCAGCAAAGGCAAGGAGCTTCTGCCACTGCTCTTGCAGCTGCCAGCTCAACAGCCACTCTCTTGCTCTCTGAAATCCTTTTCATGCCATCATCTTTCCCCTTCTCTTAAATAAAAAAGGCAGCTCTGTATTTGTAATGAGGCCAGGCATTTATTTATTTCCTCCTTTCTTCTACAGCTGGACCTTTCGATTACAGTTGTTGTTGACCTTGATGCATCAGGTCCTCTAACCCCCCCCCCACACACACTCTGTGTCATGTCATAGCCTCCCCATGTGGTCAGACAGAAAAGAGTGAAACCACCAAACTGCTATGCCCAGTGGTATACTAAGGGGTGGGTGGGGGTGGGCGGCCAACCCCAGATGCAGCTCGAGGAAGACCTTCAAAGCCAGCGTCATGCTGTGTCCAGCAGAAAGTGTTTTTATTAAAATGCAGTTCTGGCCGCAGCCACTAGGGGCGCAGGGAAGTCTCAGCATAGCAAAAAGCATTCTAGGACTGGCTACACTTCCCTTTCTCCAAGACTGAAGCAATCATGCTTACTAAGCCCAGCAACCAAGCCAGGATGCTGCTACAGTAATTGCCAGCCTGCAGGTCATTTTCTATAATAGTCTAGCCTTTCTCTCTTCCTTTCCTTGCACCCAGCTCAGCCAGATCGTGCCACAAAGCAGTAGTTAGGGTGTTGCAGCCAGATAAAACAACTTTTCCCTCTCTTAATTTCTTTCCCTCTTTTCCACATTTTCCTTTCATTTCTGTCTTCTTCCACCTAATTTTTCCATGCCCCCCCCCTTTTATTTTCACTTCTTCGTCTCAAGACTTTCTCATCCCTATTCTGTTTGGTGAAGAATGGCCCCGGTCATACGAGAGGTTTTGGGCCGGGAGAGGGACGGATCGGGGGCCGAGCAAATGGGTGCGATCCCACCACAACATCTGGGAAGCATTGCGCACCCGTCATCGATCTGGCCCTTCCGCCCAAAACACGGAGCAAAAATGAACCACCTACCGAGGTGGTTCTTCTGGGACAGCCGCATCAAGGCCGGTCATGGGATCACCGGCGCGTCCCGGCCAAACTGCGCATGCTCAGACATGCGCAGTTCGGCAGCCGCCCCCTCCCGACCGTCTTCCTCCCCGGCATCTCATCATGCCGGGGAGCAACGGCGCCGCAGCTCAGGGGATCCGTGGGATCCCGCCGCGGCATCTCTATTTTGATGCGGCTCTAATTAGCCGCACTTTGGCCGGTGTTTTTCCTGCCGTGTGGCAGGGACCAATGTAAAGAGTAGTATAGTAGCAAACCTTGGTTAATATTATGAACAGAAGGGGGGGAAGAGTTAATATTTCCCCATGATCTAACAAAGTAGTAAAAGGATATAGTGGTTAGTTGTAGTGGTTAGGAGTGTGGACTGTAATCTTGGGAGGACCAGGTTTGATTCCCCACTCCTCCACATGCACCTGCTGGTGTGACAGCCCATCTGATTTGTGGCCAATGCAGCAGATCAGAACCAGATGAACAAGAGGGTGAAATTCTTGAATTGTCGTTAGTGTTCTTCACATGAAGAAGAAGAAGAAGAAGAAGAGATTGGATTTATACCCCGCCCTTCACTACCCAAAGGAGTCTCAGAGGGGCTTACAAACTCCTTTCCCTTCCCCTCCCCACATCAGACACCCTGTGAGGTAGGTGGGGCTGAGAGAGCTCTGACAGAAACTGCTCTTGTTCAAGAACAGCTCTGACAGAACCAAAGGTCATTTCAGGGGGGATCGCGGGGGATCGCAGTTCCCCCGGGTGAGGCACATGACGAAGCCCCGCCCCCTGCTTCCGGCCGCCCTGCTTCCGGCCCTCATTCAGCCAGGAGGAGGCAGGAGAAGAGGGAGGGTAAGTTGCTTCCTCCCTGCCTCTCCCCACCCCTGCCTGCCTGGGGCCAGGGAGGGCCTTCGCAGGGCTTCCTTGCACTCCCACCGGCCTTGCAGGTCCACCGCCGGGCCCCTCATGCAAGGGCGCCGGCGGCGGCCGGGACCATTGGGGGCAGGGTGTGTGGCCTTATGACACACTTCCGGTGATGTCAGGGGGTGTGGCCTTATGACACACTTCCGTTGATGTCAGGGGGTGTGGCATATGCTAATGAGTTATGCTAATGAGTTCCCCTAGCTCTTTTTCTACGAAACGACCCCTGGACAGAACTATGGTTTGCCCAAGGTCATCCAACAGGTGCAAGTGGAGGAGTGGGGAATGAAACCTGGTTCTCCCAGATTAGAGTCTGTGCACCTAACCACTACACCAAACTGGGTGGGTGGGGGGCACACCAGGCTGCTCACTCCTTTGTTCTTTGGTGCACACACCGTTGCCTCTCCAAGATTACCGGAAAACTCATAATGCTAGACTAAACCCACTTGTAAACACCTCCCCCCAATTTAAAAGATAGAAATCTAAACAATAGCGGAGCTTGTATACCAATGAAGGTGGGAGTACCACTAACAGTTGGCCAAGATGGCTACCTGAGAGTAAATAAAGATTGAAGAATCTCCTATTTCAGAAAACACATCCAGCGTGAAACTGACCAATAAACAACCACACTGCACAAAAAGCCCAGGAAATTTCAGTGTGGTGACACTATCCGGATTTTCTCATTCATATGCAGAACATACACTCCGCAATTCCCAAGAGAAAAATCAGAGGGGAAAAGAGTGCTGAGTGCAGGCAGCATTCAAAGTAAAGCCTTACCAACTCGACTTCAGTGAAAATTGGCAGTAAGCTGTGAGTGCATAATAGGCCCATTATCTAACAGATTGTTCCTAGAACAATTAGGAGATCCACACTCACCTGGACGATCACAAACAAAGCCTGCACAATTGGATAGGTTATTTTGATGGCTGTCAGGCAATGAGAGAAGCTGGAATAATATCCCGTCTTAAAAACATCCATCACCAGGGTGAGGACTGCAAACAAGACCAAACCTCCTGTTTTTGAAAGAAAAGTAATTATATCCCATGACAAAAATGCTAATTCCAGTCTCTAATAGTCCCTGTTTTTCTATTTATGTGCACCATGAAAAGTTATAGTTTTATGTATTTAAAGTGACAACAAAGGTGTTTCTTGCATATACTAGCACTAGTTTAATTTAAACTGCAGCCAAAATTTGGGAACTGATTCCATGGACTCACCAACAGCTCACAGAAAAAAGGAAGTACACCAGTCCATAATCTTGCCTCAAGCATATTTGGAATTCAAGCTCAATTTTTGGCTTTCTGTAAATGGAGCTTCAGTAGTCTCTCCTTGGATGGGCATGTGCAGGGTTGACTCCAGCTTCTGTGGCCTCTTAGACAAAAGACCTACAGAGGATCTTTAATACTTGGCCAGACAAGAATATCACCCAGTGCTTCTTCCAGCAAAAGTATGCTGCTCATTTACTACTGTAGTCCTAAACCCACCACCCCTGCAGTTTCCCCAAGCACTGGGGAACAGAAGTGAGTGATATCATTTCTGTACAGGTTATCTGCCCTAAATTCAATGCTGTTGAGAAGCAGTATTGTGGTATATTTGTGCACCTCTGGAGGTTCTGCTGGCTTTTCTCCTGTCTCTCCCAAACCTGCTTTGTTCTAAAGGTTTGGGAAAGATTGTAAAAAAGCCTGGATGGCTGCTCTGTGTTGTATGTGTGAATCTGGATTTTCCGGCACACATGGCAGCCACTTTCCCTGACCCCGTCCCCATGGCAGCCATTTCTTCCGTCTCCCACCAGTTTTTAATTTCAAAAAACTGGCACTAGGATATCATTATTAGGGATGAGCATGAACCTAAAAATTCTGGTCCAGGGCAGTTCCTGAACCAAACCCCCAACCGAGCCAAAAATGCCTCGAACCAGCCAGTTCAGATCCCCCTTACTCCTGGTCACGGCAAGCCGTGGCCTGGAGAAAGGGGGGTATTGCTCATTTTGCTGCCCCCCCACTTCAAAGCGGACCTGCCCCACTGTTAGGTCTAAATGGCTGGCAGCCATTTCAGCGGTCCATTTCACTTCCCCCCGCTTCCAAGCCCACAAGTGCACTTCTCAGCAGCTAAGCTGAAATGACTGCCAGCCATTTCAGCGGTTCGTTTCACTTTGAAGCGAGGGGGGGGGGAAGGGAGTGAAACTGACCAGTGAAATGGCTCACAGCCATTTAAACATAACAGGTCAACTGTGGACCCATGTCACTCAGGCTTAAATGGCCCAAACAGCTGAACCAGGCAAAAGTTCAGTAAATGTTCGGGGAAGGTGCCTTCCACAAATATCAGTTTGGGGGCTCTGAACTGGGCCAAGTCTGTGCCGAATTTTATTCATTTTATTATTTATTTTTGGATTTATATCCCTCCCTCCCCTTGATGGGCTCGGGGTGGCTTCCAACAATAAGATACAATACAATTCAAACAATTTAAAACACAATTTACTTTTTAAAATACAATACGGCTCATGAACTGATTTGTGGCCATCCCTAATCGTTATATTGATGTACTGCAGTAATAATAGGTGTTACAAGAACAGGGACCACAGTGGATACAATATCAACAATAGAAAACAACAACACTGTGCCAAAGAATTACATAACAATAAGAATAATCAAATCATATACTGTATTATTTTTGAATACAGTTCCAACAGTACAAATGTAATAATGTTTGGTAAAAAAGTAATTTAAATAAAGTATTTAAACAAAATACTGTGATCTTGTAGTAATTCTTTCTCACATAAATATCCATGCTTGACCCATATTTACATATGAATTGGTGACGAAGAACTGAGAGGTTGCTGCATTCCATTTGAATACTCTTTTGTAACAGGAAACCTGAGACAATGTGAAGATTAAGACCATAAGATCTTGAAAAAGAATATTTTCAAAATGGATGTTACCAGGACTTCTGTAGATGGTGGATGAATGGATTGTGGAATTATTTAATGCTAACATCCTCTCCAACTGAAAAAAATTATTTATTTTTATGAGGACACTGGATTGAATCGAGTTGGACTTTTTGATATTACATGGATATTTATATGAGAAACAATGACTATGAGATCACAGTATTTAGTTTGAATACTTTATTTAAATTATTGTTTACCTAAAACATTAATTTATACTGTTGGCACTTTATTCAAAAATAATACAGTAATATGGCGGTTTTGGAGGGCAGATATAGTAAAGTATCATACTCTAATAGAACATACAGATGCTCATATGATACAATCGAAACCATTGAACATATGATTATGGAGTGGCCTATATTCGATGAGTTGAGGGCTAATTTAGTCACCTCTCTACTTAAAGCTACGGGATTGCTAAATGTGCGAGCCCAGGTGTCATGGCTACTATCGGATACAAATGATCATGTCACCCCCTCAGGGGCAAAATTCATAGGCACAATAATCAAATATAAGAGAAATAATACTGAGTAAGGGCTTTTAAAATATTTTTGGTTCTAATTTCTGCTTCAGGAGATAGCCGTATGAGCAGTACTAGATAGAGTATACATTTGATTATTATTGTTGTTATTTATTTAATTCTTTGGCATGGTGGTGTTGCTGTTTTCTATTGTAACAATAGGTGTAGCAAGTTCTCTGAACTTTCAGCTTTTTTTTTTAAAAAAAGGTCAGTCTCTAGGCCTTTCCCTTGCAGAAACATCTTTGCAATGGAAGGGAAAATTCTTTTTAAAGGAACACTTGGGAATTCAGCAGACCTCCTAAACCTATTCCTATAACAGTATATTGATATAACAATATTCTAGTGCCAATTGTCCCAAAAAAAAGCAAAGCAAAGCAAAAGCCCTGATGGCCAGGGGTTGGTCCACGGAAGCCATAACCTCTACTTTGGCTGTCAATCACTTACCCAAAAATACTCAGTAAGCTTCACTGCACAAACAGTACTTCAAGCCCAGGAATCCCTAGCCCTGTTCTTCTGACACGCCACCTATTATACCACACTGGCTGTCATACAACTCTATTAAAAAAAGAGGCCATGAGGTGTGTCTGTCTAATAAGAAATGTTCTTCCTGGAATGCCTCCTCTTCATATGTCTATCCCATGTGAACAGCTAATTTGGCCACTTTGCCCTTCCCATCCACCCACAGAACTAGTCCTTACCTCTTAGCCAAATGGGTCCCGCATGTGCATCCTTGCAGAGGATGGCACCCCGGTGTCTGGAGGTGTGGATGAGGTAGAAGAGCATCCAAACAATGGCTATCAGCATCACGATGGTGAGCATGAAAAAGACATCGTAGTCATGCAGTTTTATTTCGTGGAAAGCCCCACCACTGACCAAGGTGCAGGACAGCAGCACCAAATTGATACCAAGCAGAACAGAGAAAACACGCCCCCCTTTCTTCCAAATTTCCTTGGGGCTGTGCGTCAAGGCAGATGGGAACTTGTGATGGCCAAGAGAGGTGAGCTGTTCAGGTCCCAAACTGTTCTTGTCGTCCCTCTGACCGGCGCCCATGACTGAATCTTCACATCCAATTTCGTTGTCTTTCCACATAGACACCCCAGTCATCATTCAACAGACACCGATATGTCACTCCTGGTGTAAAAAACAAAACAAACAATAACACCAGGACAAAGTGTTTAATTTCATATCAGGGTTTCAGGTCTCATTCAAATGGTGGAGGGTGAAGGTAATGGAATGATTACACGAAACAGACAGATGAAGTAGTAATCAAAATTTTTATAAGCTGGGCTTCTAGCTACAATTCAGTGCCTTTGATATTTCCTATCATAAATTGGATCAGTGATCATTGTTTCACAAAATGGAGTCTGAAGTTTCCTAGCTAGGTCTTTCAGCATAATTTAAATTAAATCAATAAAAGATTTTGGATATCACATACAAAGCCCTTCCTGGCCCTCGACCCTAATATCTGCAGGACCACTTCTCCTTTGCTCTGTCACAAAACTCCACTTATCTGAGCAGAGCCTTCTGCAGGAAGCACCCTGCAACTGGGGCAAGATCAACAACTGCCGGTACACGTGCCTTCTCTGTTGCGGCATCTACTTTATGGAATGGCCTGGCTGATGAGGCTAGAAAGGCTCCTATAGTCTTATTATTCCACAAGCTATATAAAAGTGAATTGCTCAGCCTAGCCGTTTGAAAGCAAGAAATTGCAAGTAGATGAACAGGTACCACTTCGGTGGGAAGGTAACAGCATTCCGTGCGCCTTGGTGTTTAGTCATGCCGGCCACAAGACCACGGAAAGGTCTTCAGACACCGCTGGCTCTTCGGCTTTGAAACGGAGATGAGCACCGCAACCCTAGAGTTGGACTCGACTGGCTTTCGAGCAAGGGAACCTTTACCTTTTTAATAGGGCAACATTATAATGGAATTGTTCAGGAAGGCATTTTTATAAAGGGAACAGGACTGTGGACTGTATCATTGTATGTTGTGCATTATTTATTGGCTGAATGTATTCTGCACAAACTGCAAATGAGAGTCTTAGTTTACTTCCCACAATTAGAAAATATACCTTTACACATTTATCTCCTATTTTGACATATTTATTGCTTTACTGTTTCCCCCCCTTAATTAAATCAAGACAACTTTTGACCTTATAACCTTAGCTTGTTATTTAGTTTTGTCTTTGCATATCTTAAAACATCTTCATGATGTTACATGTTAATTTGCTGTTCAGCCTCTGTCTATAAGTTTGAACTCTCACCTTCCATTCCAATGTATTTGAAAAAGTGTGCATGCACACAAAAGCTCATACCTTGAATAAACCTTTGTTGGTCTTGAAGGTGCCACTGGACTCTAAATTTGTTCTATTTTCTACTTTTGTTACACCATTTTCAGTTCTGTTTGATACATCATGTCTAACACTTTTTTGCTTTGTTGGTAATTCTAGTCCTATCACATTATTAGATTTCTTATCGATTGATTTTTGCTGTGAAATCTGCCTTGAGTCTCAGTCAGAAGGGCAAAATATAAATAAATAAAATTCTTGCTTCCCATACCTGGCTACGACAGAGCTCACAGAAAGAATAATGCACTTGTATATTCAGACACAGCCTTATACTGATGCAGTTTAAATCTAATCTATTTGTCAGACTCTTGAACAAACTCACTCTCAACAACACTCTCTTGTAGTGATTTGTTTATTGAGATATGAAGATGTGTCGAGCTTGTCTGTATCAGAACTAATGGGTTTGGTGCCAGTCCTGGTATTATACTTAATTCAAACAGCCCCCCCCCCGTGACCCATCCGATCAAGCCATCCATGCAGCTCGCCCAAACCAAGCGCTTGCTCCCCCCCACACACCTGCAAACCTACAGTTTCATTATCTATGACAGGCCAGCTAGCAGAGATAGACGTCCAAGGTCATTCGCATTCTTCCCATTCAGGAGGCCTCTTGAGAAAGTAGTTACAAAGCAGCTAAGTGAAGCGATTCCCACACACTCACATGTACTCACCATCTCCCCCCCCCCCAATGGCCCCAATACAGGATGGTTACAGGTAAGGAAAAGAGAACAACAGAAATACATGACAAATGAGGACCCAAGTTTGACACTATTAACATTTCAAAGATCTCAACTATTTCTTTGACAGGTTCCATTTTAGAGGGATTTCTTAGTAGTGCCTTTTGTTTAAGATTCAGGTTGTAAAGCTGTGTCCTCCCTGCCTTTGCCTCATAGGCATTGCCAAGACCTGACTCAACCTCATCAGTAACTCTCAGATGGCTGCAGGAGAAGACTGTCCCAAATAATTTAGGATGTCCTTCAAAACCAAGAGCGGTCACAGTGACCTATCAAGTCCAATGTGGCCCACCAGCCATGCACAGAAACTAAATGCTCTGGCAACCTCCTTGTTTTGGTGCAAGCGTGAGACAACAAAGCAAAAACAACACAAAACCCCAGCACCTGTGTAGGTGTGTGCTTTGTTAATCACCTGGCAGCCTGAAATATATTATGGGAGGGCTGCATTGAGCTCAGTAGGTTACAGGTTATGCTGTTATTTTCTAAATCCCAGGTGAACAACCATGTTGAGAACTGAGATATCACCCTCTCACCTCTATCTTTGTCTATACCTGTTTCTGACCTTATGCCCCTCTTTAAGCACTCCACTCTATGAGATGAGCACTCTGCAAGCATCATAAGAACATAAGAACATAAGAGATGCCAATGTTGGATCAGGCCAAAGGCCCATCCAGTCCAACACTCTGTATCACACAGTGGCCAGAAATACCAGTGCCATCAGGAGGTCCACCAGTGGGGCCAGGACATTAGAAGCCCTCCCACGGTTGCCCCCCCCAAGCACCAAGATGTTGCCCCCCCCAAGCACCCCCAAGCATCATGTAAATGAACTGTTCCACTGCAAATCAGTCAAGAGAATAATCCCAATGGAGGCATGCTATACTTGGTGGTAACATGCTTCTTAACTTTTTCATTTCCTCCCCCAAGTTCCCAAAAAATACTTGACTGGATTCATTTTGGTTCTTTATTAATTAGTATCTTTATTTATAACTAGGCACTATACCATGAAGAGAGAAGAACAATTGTCTTAGCCAGAGACCATTCCACCAACCTGCTTTCTGCCAGCCAGCAGATGCGCCGTCCTCACCAACGCGTTTGCACAAGCTTCCTCTTTTCGCAGCTCACAAGTGCCAGGGAATTTATATCTGTCTGGATGCCTCTGTGATTTACACCAGCAGTGGGGCTGACAGTGCTGCTTCATAAACTTCTCAGTAAGGCTGACATGATCCATTTTGTGCATGAGCTGGTGTTAGGGAAGAGGAAAAGGTGAGAGAAATGGGGTCAAGGACTCTTGGTAACTAACGAGAAGAAGGTAGGAGCATTATCACAGGCCCAGCTACAGCAGCTGAACAGGTACAAGGACTTTACTTCCTGCATGTGGGTTTGAAATAAAGTCTCCATAGTGCACATATGTTTTGTGTCTTTTCAAGCTTCATTACAGGCATCAATCAAAAAATGCAGCTTTAACTGTGTCTGCATCTCCATGCAAGGAGAAGCTTTCCCTTTGATTTCTGTATCTTGACAGCTATTAGGCACAGGGCATCTCCTCGTAAAAAGGTGTCAGATTTGAGCATCCATGAAAATCTGGAAACCCACATGTCCCTATGACTTCCTCTGGAGCTGCCCACACTGGCAAGTGGAGTGATTGTTATACCCATGCAACCTAAACAAAGGCTGTGATCACACGCACAATTAGACCCGATACAGGTGCAAATGCCAGGCGGATTTAAAGGGTGCTATCAGGCAACAACATCTGGGAAGCGCCCCGCAGCCATCTGCAACCAGTTCTGCTCCACCACAGAAGCAGAGTTAAAAGATACCGGGGAAAATCCAGTAGAAAACGGGTTATGATGGGCCACGGATGGACTTTCCTGTGTCTGATCACTCTAGCATGCTCTCATGGCGTCGGGATGGTCTGATCAGGCCATCCTGACTTGGTGCCGTTGTCAGTATGTGCATCATTGCAAACTCCATAGGGACCCCTCAGTGTGGTTATGTGATTCATCGATTCCTTGTTGAAATGGCAAAAACACACACACACCCCAACTCCCCTGCGGTTGCATCTGAGCATGCAGTGGTGGGCGGTGCCCACAGCTTCCAAGGACTGTGTGATCATGCAACTGCGGGTCAAATTCCTCCGGAGGAAATGGCCTTGGTTCCCCCCCCCCCCATTTTTTCTGGTGAGTGTGACTGCAACCAAAGCTAATCTGAGTTCATACATTTTTTTCAAGGTACCTGCTTTTTCGAAGAAACAGCTTTGCTTCACATCTCCCAGGCTGGCACAGAAGCACCAAAATTTGGCATCAAACAGTGGAGGAAATAGGGCCAACTGTCTAGATATTCAGGTCACTCTCTGCTCCTTCTAACAGCAGTTGGATATACGGAGGTAATACCACCCACTAACGTTTGCAGATCAAGCTGCTGTGAAAGGCACAGCTACACAGCTTGGTTGAAAAGTTGGTAGCCCTAACTCTATTCCTTTATCATTCAAAAATACTGATACTGGGAGCAATTATGTAATAAAAAACATCTTAAAGCCAACAGTGGCCCCGGGTCACATGGCAAAGTTGCCGCGGGAGAGGCATGGATGGTGGGCGGATTATCCGGGCGCGATCACACCCCAACATCTGGGAAGTGGAGCGCACCCGTGGCTTACCGCTGACAATGTGAGTTAAAAAACTAGTACCTCCAAGGTACTAGTAAACGTTTGCCACGGGCTGCCTCCAGACGCCCGTGGTGTGATCACGCCGGAGCGTGGTATTCCCCTCCAGTCCCTCGTTTACCCGCCGGCGCCGAGAGAAGGACCTGTGGTGTGCCACCGGCATGTCTGATTGTGTAATCGCGGATCAAACTGTGCTGGGGCAATTAGCCACGCCCCCCCCCCCCCTGGCCCGTGTGACCGGGGCCAGTGTTGGGTTAAGAAGGGTCTGTTTGTGCATGGGGTTAAAATCATCAGTCAGCATCCCACTGGGGTGGACTTGGTTGTTAAAATCAGCCCAGGAGCAAGGCAAACTGGGTAGCCCCGTGACACTGTGAGCCAGCACTGCACGACCACTCCGCTCAGACCTGGCCAGTGGTGACAAATATGGCTGGTGGCTCACCCACTGCTGCACCTCCCCCAGCTGTTGAAAGTGCAAGAGGAGGCAAATGGTGAGCTGCCACTGATGGCCAGACTCCAGTGGCTTCTGCAATGCTGATAGAGCTGATGGGGCTTGGCTCTTGGTTGCACCTGGCCTGCAACAGCCCTCCAGGAACTTACCCCGCAAGCTAAATGGCCAGTCCATCTCTGAGCATCATACATTCCTGATTATTTATTAAAAAAATTGATCCTGCCTTCTGATGTACAAGGCAGCTAATACTTACAAACCAAAACGTAAATTAAATTACATAAAATAAAGCAAAACCATCAAACAGCTGAAACAGTGGATCAGATTTAACCCATCATTAGCAAAGTTTCCCAAAAACAGAACCACCTTCACGTAGCACCAGAAAGCCAGGTGAGTGGCTAGGGTTGCCAGCTCTGAGTTGGGGATTTCCTGGAGATTTGGGGATGGTGCCTGGAAAGTGCAGGATTTAGGGAGGGAATGGAAGGAACTTCAGTGAAGTATACCACCATAGAGCCCACCCTCCAAAGGAGCCATTTTGTCCAGGGGAACAGACCTCAGTAGTCTGGAGATCGATTGTAACTCCAGGAGATCTGACATCAGGAATCACAAGACTGAGAAATCTGTAGGAGAACACTTCAGCCTTCCAGGACACTCAGTGGGTGAACTCAAAGTAGCTGTTTTATCACAAAGGAACTTCAGGAACAGAATGCAAGGAAGACTGGTATATTTTCCTGACGACCCTGCATCCACCTCAAAAAGTGCTGTTAAGTGATCTTCATGCCTGGGAAGAGAGAATGGAGATTCTCGGCTTGCTTCCCACAATTATAAAAGACACCTTTAGATAGGCTTGCCAAGTCCCCCCGGGGGGCGGGGCAACCCCCGCCCTAGAGGCCCGTTCCCCGCCGCTGCCGGATCGGGCCCCAGGGGGAGCTCCACCCCAATGTGCAGGTCACCAGGAAGTGATGCGATCACGTGGGGCACGTTGGGGGCGGGGCCATGACCATCTGAGGGAAAACTCTATGGTTTTCCCTCAGATGGTCATGGCCCCGCCCCCAGCGTGCCCTGCGTGACCGCATCACTTCCGTGTGACATGGATGCAGCGCATGCATGCGCGTGCTCTGGGAGCGACCCGGGAGTCCCCCGCTCTGGATCGAGGTAATACTTGGCAACCCTACCTTTAGACCTATATCTGCTATTTTGACATATTGATTGCTTTACAACTGTTGACCTTATAACCTTAGCTTGTCATTTTTGACTTTGGATATCTTAAAGTATAACCTGATCCGAGTGCCTGGGAAATCTGAAAGAGACTAAGACGCGGATTGTACGCGAGGAATCAAATGCCAGCATATATAAGCTGTATAGTTGTGGTTTTAAACTTTTGTATGATTGGATTTTATATGGTATATTGAATTATTATATTGTGGGCTGTAAGCCGCTCTGAGCAAGCCTTGCTGGGAGGGCGGGGTACAAAAATCTAATTAATTAAATAAATGAAATAAATTAAACCTCATCCTGTCACATGTTAATTTGCTGTTCAGTCCCTGTCTATAAGATTGAAACTCACCTACCATTCCAATGTATTTGAAACAGCGTGCCTTGCATACAAAAAGCTCATATCTTGCATAACCCTTTGTTGGTCTTAAAGGTGCCACTGGACTCTAAATTTGTTCAAGTGCTGTAAAGTGCTGCAAATTCCACAGCACTCAGACGGTTGCACTTAAGCAATGAATCCAACATCACTGGCTGAAAAGGAATGCCTGTTGTGGGGCAAGGTGCAAACTTCAGTCTCTGAGCAACAGATGGCACCAAAGGCCCACACACTCCCTAGAGAACAGCAACAGCGGGAAGCGGGGGGGGGGGAGTGGGGGAATGGCTCTTCTCTGTTCACATATTGCGTGTCTATCGAAGGGAGCTTTGACTCTCGAAAGCTTATTCCCTAAAACTCTTGTTGGTCTCTAAAGTGCTCCTGGACTCGACTCTAACTCCAGACCAACATGGCTACCCTCCTGACACTGCCTTTTAAATGTACATCTAAAAAAAAATAAATCAAAGTGTTTATATTACAATGTAAAGGACGAATGCAACACACACACGTTTGAAAGCACATGCATCACACGAGAACTCTCCTCGGAGAGCTAGGAACAGTTGTGCCTCCTTCATGGCAAACCCAGGTTTGTTGTGCTGTAAGATCTGAAAGGATCCTGGGGACCACTTCAAGCATATAAGTTAAAAAACCAAAAACAACACATGCCTGCAACTTGCCTGCTTCGACTTTGCCAAGTAATCATTGGGAAGCTGTGATTGATAGCAGGTTCCTAATGAGCATGCACAGATTCTCAACTGCTATGCACCAGTTAAGTGTGGACGATGCAGATGTTTGTTCAACACCAGTGTTCCCTCTAAGCTGAGTTAGTGTGAGCTAGCTCACAGGTTTTTAGCCTCCAGCTCATGGATTCTTGTCTTAGCTCAGGAAGAATGGCCCCAGAGCAAACTAATTTATGCAGTAGCCAAATCATTTGCTCACAACTTTAATGCCAGCAGCTCAGAAAGTAGAATTTTTGCTCACAAGACTCCACAGCTTAGAGGGAACATTGTTCAACACATATGGTTTCTGACCCACATCACATTGCAGATGCAGGCTTCAGTGCAAACATTATGGTCCAGCATACAGATGCAGGAGGTGGAGCAGCCTCACTGGTTGGGCAGGAGAAGATCTTTATCTACTCACCGCACACAGACCCACATGTCTAAGTAGGGCTAGTTTGCATTGCCCTGCCCTCTCCTTACCTGCAGGCACTGAGTATGCAAGGAAGTCTTTCTGAGGGCCAGGAGTCATCTCAGTCTCTGTACCCAAGAAGGGGACAGCTGCCCGTCTCCTATAGGGGCTCAGGGGCAAGCTTTTACTTTTCTGCTTACATCTGTGTCATTCTAAATAGAAGCCAGATTCTCCAAAGCCAAATCTGCATCTTCTGTGAACAGGGCCATAGAAAAGCTGGCATTTTGTGGGCTGAAGGAGCCAAATCATCAAGGGAATAAAAGGAAGCTGTTCTTACAGAGGTAGCTGGCCATAAAGTGCAGTTAGATCCAGGTAGTCAGCCGTGTTGGTCTGAAGCAGCAGAAAAAATTT